TGTCCAGTGGCGCAAAAATCGCCTATAGGGAGACTGGAGTATTTAGTGATAAGATCTTGAGTTGACTGGACTTGGAGTTGCAATGCATGACGCATACCTAAAACTTTGTCTAGACGTTATAAACCGCCCTGATATCCCATCTAAATTTCCATATTCTTCTTTGTTTAAAGCAGACAGCGTCAGACTTTCTCCAAAAAATCATATAACACCAATTGCCCGTTACATAAATAAATCGATTTTTAAGCAAAATATTTTTTTAACCTTTTTTCAACATAAAACTTTAATATTTCTTCCAATGCGATTTTTTTTTAAAAAATAAATATTTATAAATATATTTTGCACCGTACGAGTTGTCGAAATGGTGAATCTGCTTGAAAATTAACAAATGATCGTTGTTGAAATATAACAATAAATATATTTCATTAGGTTTTTATGTGGTTATTGCTTTTGTAGCATTACGCTAGTCAAAAATCATAAATATCTAGGGAATTCACTTCTATATGAAATAAAGCAATTCTAAAGGCAAATTGACAAGTGGTAAATAAAGATAATCCACTGATGGCTTTTAGAGACGCAAAGAATATATTAACAGGCGCTTACAACTTCGCGTTGCGACATCGCTTGAGGCAGAGGAGGACCTTATATGGACTTAATACTGACCCATTTTGACTTTCACTCGGTTCGCCTTTTAAGCCAATGACATCAATAACAGGCTTCGGACGCAGTCACGGACGGACTTCGAGGCTGACTTGTCATCGTCCTGATCGAATTCGATGAGTGCCCTGATGGTGCAGGCTTCCGAAATCTAATCACGAACCGAGAAAATGATATAGAGATCGTGCCATTTTCACCGATGTTGTCCTTCCAAAACGTTTAACAAATGTTTTTCAAGTATTTTCGATATAACTAGGCTTTATGACTGTCTGAAAGGACAGCACGTGCATCTGGTTAAACTGTTGTAGATTACAAAGAACAGCTTCTATAGCTTTTCTTATGTAAAATGGAAGGTCATAACAGTCTTTAACTTATAAGAATAAATCTTGCTGATACGTCGAAAAGCCAGGATTTAAAATATTGAAAAAAAAATTCTCTCAATCCTCTGCGTTTTCTTGCTTCGACGAGAATTTTGAATTTATACTGCTGAAATCTGCACACATGTACGGAGTTGAACCTATCAATTCTCGCAGTTAATTTACAGTAAATTACCGGCAAGCTTCGAAAATCAACTCGGGTGTTGGCAGCCTGGGGTAGACTTAAGTCTTATCCGTCCAGCCACCGAGGTTTGGCAACAGGTGCTGTCAACAGCTAGGTCCATCAGCATGAAGTTCTTAGATCCAAACTCATTCATATGCTTACTAATTTTTACATACATTCTTATAAATTTACATAACTTTTACTCAATTAAGGTAGTGCAGTACTTGATATATCACCCTTTACCTATTATATAATAACTAGCCTAATTGAGGGTCTATATGGTACTCAATATTTCGCTATCAACCCTCTTACACTACACATTCTTTCTCAACACACGTTAGGTACAAAACTATCAATACTATATATAATAGAACAACCCTTTTTCATCCAAAAATGGGGGGGACCCAAAGAATCGCTGCCGTGCTTATTGGGAGGCATTCCTACTCGCTCCCAATATGGAGAAAAGGAATGCAGTTAATTATGTGGAACATATTGAACTTGCATACGTGAGGCATACAGGCCTTGATCCCCACAGTGTCAGTGTGTCAACCGCTTATGGCCAATTCTAAATCGGTTTGGGTGATCAATCTGCGGTCTAGATTCTCCGGGGCCACCTATCACCAGTGGTTCTCTTGACGCATAAGAGCTCCTTGTATGACCCAGTCCACTCACGCTGCCACCTTTTCTTTACTTATTTTCATAGTCAAGGAAAACATATTGCATTTGATTTGAAATCTATAAAATAGTATACAATAAATTAAGCCACATGTTAAAAATATGCTTGGATAGTTTTTTATTGTAAAAAAATCACTGTTCTCACACAATAAACCATCTTTTAAAACGATCTCTCTTGCTGGGATTGTTTGCATTCTCCAAACTACGGTCACGGTAGCTTCCAGCGATGCTGATCAAACAGCATTCTATTGAGATTACAATGAGTAGAAGAACTATCACGAAGAAAACGTATTTGGTCGAAAGATAGCCGAACGAGGCGAATACGGTGTAGAAGATAGACACGAGTATAGCGAAAATATTGCAGACTGTGATGCATATTATGCAAATCGTGATGTACAAAGAAGACTTCGAGTATATCCCGAGGAGCAGGCCGAGGTTCGAGGCAGTCATGACTGCGAAGACGGCAAAGACGACCGCGTTGGCCCAGCGGGCGTTCGCGATAGCGTGGCTCAAATACGTATGCTTGTTTAAGGTGAGTTTAACTGAGTAGGTAGGTGAGCCGTATATTATGATGATGAGGTGCTGAATGCCGAATCCTGCCGCTATAAGAAGAGCGAACCAGGCTATCACCTTTGTCCCGTTCTCAAAGGAGCATACCTTGTCAATATTCGCACATGGTTTATACATTTTAGAACTTTTACAATATTTTAAATCATGTGGTACCGCGATACTCTCAGACGTTTGAAAATTATTTAAGTAAATCACAATGTTTTTACCAAAAGCAACCGTAGAGAACGAGAATGGTAAAAAGTATGGAAAAAGAGTAGCAGTCACGTTGTTAACACAAAAAATTAATCTCAGCAATCTATGCCAATAAATATTTTGAAAAATAACTTGATTTTTTCCTCAAAATTAAGAACACAAACTTATTTGTTTGTGCTAGGGATTTGTGATTTGTGCTAGGGACTTCTTATTTCTTTGTCTCAAATAGTGTACAAATTATTTATCAATAAATCAGAAATTAAACATATCCGTTATTATTATTTAATTAGTTCAGCAATTAGTTAATTGATTCATAGCTGCCAATGGGTTTTCTTATTACTAATTAAAAAAACTTTTGTTAAAAATAGAGCTTAATGTACCCTAAAATGTTATGGATCAAATCCAAAATATAACTGCATTAAATCGTCAAATTTACTTGACCTCTCATTTTTGTACAATTCCAAAATTGTCCATTCTATAAATGGATTTATCATCCCTAACATCACAAAATTCACGCTAATTGGGACACAAAACTTTTTAACAAAAAACATTTGTAAAAATTTGTAGCTATTAAGATGATGTTTCATGCCTTTCATCCCCTTGTATCCTGGCACCCACATCAGAGTTGCTAGATTTTGTTTTCCCAAGAACTGTAGATGTGCTATGACTAGCTTTGAATTGAAGGTGCAACAGTTTAGTATTATAATTAACTATTTTGTTAAATATTTTAGTAGTAATCTAATCTCAATATGGTCTGGATGAAAAATGAATTAAGTTGTTATCTTACAAACTTTCGACCTATTTTAAGGTCATCATCAGGGTTACAATACTCTAGGTGTTACACTCCTTGGCAATATGATGATTTATGTTAGAAGTTCATAAATATATTTATTTATTTTTACTTTCTAATTTTAAAATTATTTATTAGGCATTTATAAAATAACTTAATTATTAAATACATAATTATTTGGAGATCGTGTCATACCAGACCACACCTCATGATCTCCGAATAATCATTAACTAACGGTCACTAAACACTATACAGTTAAATACATAAGTAAAATGGGTATATATTGTGGTATCACATTTGTGTAATTTAATTTGTCAAACAATGTCTTTAAAAAAAGAAAAATAATAATAATAATACATACATAAATGTAATACATCTTTCAAAAGAAAACATTTTAAAAATAACACAGGAACCAACATACATTTTTATTAGTTACTCATTAAAAATATAAGAAATTGGCAGAACTATTTTGGTGAAGCTTAAGCACAGTGATTATGCCCAGATTTTTTGAAATATTTATTTATTTATTGTTACATGAATAATACAGTGTAAATTCGAATAAACATTCAATATATTATGAAACAAACAATACAATTACAAGTGTATAAAATTTCCAAATAAAAACCTTGCAGATATGTAGCGATTTTCTTAGGTATGGTACCCAAATTTCACATTAACTTATACTAAACAAATTTTAAAAAAAAGTTAAGAATTTTTTATTGAAGGCGGCTGTCAAGATTTGGTTTGAAATACATAGTGATCTTGAGTCGACAACATTTGAAGGCAGATTATTCCAATTTTCTGTGTTTGGGATAAGTGTTGATCCAATTCATTTCTGAGAGCGCTTTTTTTGAAGTTTCATGCTAAGACCACGAGTTTTTGAGGATGTAGTGGGAAAATTTGAGGCAAAGAGTCATATTTATTTGTAAGAATTTTGATAAGATCTTGACTTTCTCTGCAATCTTGAAGGGTTGTTAAATTTAGACTACAAGTTGGTCGATGTAGCTGTTGGCTTTAATTTTGTTGTAGGTTTTGGTACAGACCTACAAAGACCTACTTGTAAAAAAGGATTGAACTTTTTCTACAAGTGTAATGTTTTTTTTTTTTTTTTAAATAGGGCTCCTATCATTTTGCAAACCCTATGGGTTGAACATAGGTAACACTTTTTTTAAAAAGTATTTCAGGAAAAGTTGATGGAAACGTGTATTTAACTTGGTACGCTTCCTTTTTAGACGATGTCCTGGAGATGTTTTGTGTGCACATGCAAAAATGAAATCCTTAAACACTGAGAAATATTTCAGTCTTTTTCTAAATTTAGACAGCTTAAAATATGCCCTTCAATGTCAAAAGTAAAAAAATAAATAAAATAAAATAAATAAATCAGTCAGAGGATTTACTGGCTTCATCTTTATTCTAATTGCAAATAACAGGCAAAGTTCTTGCAGAATAAAAACCTTTTGATAATAAATACAACAAATACAGCAATTTTCTATGATTTATTATATAATTTTTCAGGTTTATTAGTTAATTTCATACTAAGGTTTTCTGATTTCTGTGGCAGTCAGTACAAACGCCACAGAACAGTAGATCTAGATGTTGCTCTTTGTACTTGGTACTTTGTAACCGGGACGTAACCTCAAGTTCTCAAGTTTGTACGTACTTACTTATGACTAGTTGTTCGCACATCATTTTAAGCCGGAATGGAGATGCAATTGGATTTGGCCGGTATGGATGAAAAACGTGAAGTCCAGCAATGCGGTATCTGCAACAAAAACGACTACAAGTACGTATGTCCGAGGTGCAACATTTTGTACTGCTCTGTGCCTTGCTACAAAGCTCAGATGCATCTAGACTGCTCCGAGAGCTTCTATAAGGAGTCGATAGAAGCTATGCTGAAAGCAGAAGGCAAGAATTCTGAGTCGCGCAGGAAGATGGAAGAGATCTTGCGCAGAGTTAACGAACAGGAGTATGACACAGATGACAGTGATGACATTGAGGATATGTCATCCAGACTTGAAGGCGTCAATCTTGACGATGCCCAGTCCATTTGGGAAAAGTTGACCGATGAAGAAAGAAAAGAGTTCATGGAGTTGGTCAGGACCGGCGACGCCACTGCTCTCATCCCAGAATGGGAACCTTGGTGGTCTGAAAAGCACCCCATCCCCAAAGTGCGAGACTTAGAAGATGTATCACACAACAATTATAAAAACAATTGTCCTAAATTGAGGAACGTACCTAATCTGTCTCTAGTCACTAAAGTCGAACCGTCACCTTTAGTTTATTTCAACTTGGTCAACACGATCGCCGGTTATACATTGATGATGCGTTATTATAACGGAAGTTTTGAGAATTTAACACTCGAAGCTGTCACAGTTTTTGTCAATGTTACAAAAAACTTTTCTGGTGAGAGTTACCAATCTGTCGAACTCGCTTTCGCTTCGGTCAGCGAGGCTGCCAACGTCTGCCCGTGGATTGAAATAGGACACGAGAACATATCCCAAATGAAATCGGACACGTTTAAAATACTGGAAGGGCCCAATGAAGAAGAGGCGGATTTCTACGTGAGGGCTGCCCTTTCTGATATGCACAGTATACTTCTCTCGGCGAAGAAGCAAAAGCCAAACAAGTCCCGACCGATGAGCAAGTTCTCCCAGTACTTCCCCGAGCCGACTGACAACGTAATTAACTTCGTGAACAAAGAGGTTTTGGCAAAGTGCATCAAGAAAATTGAATATTACGAATCATGGACTTTGGAAAGATATATGACTTATAACACAAGTTAACATTCATCACTTTGATATATAAACAAATTGTACATATTGTAATATATTGTTTTAAAAGATTTGTTGTGAATTATAATTTAATAAAAGTTTTTGAAAATAATTTTATTGTACATCTTATTTGACCTGCAAAAAGAATTATAAACATTTTCATCACGATTTAAACTTGTTTTTTCTTTTTTTTTTCTTTCGATGGAATAGAAGAATAAAGGATTTCTATGTAGTAGTAAAGTGATTTCCTTCTTTTGACATGATGATCATTATGTAACAATATATTATAATGTAAATTTTTTTCTAAAAAAGGAAGCCTGATTTTATTACTTATGAATGTACAGTGGATTCTCGTTATCTATGGGGGATATGTAACGCACATAACGTGAACCACAGATATAGGAAACACCTTTCAGATTTCAAAGAATTTTCAGATTTTTTCAAATCTGAACGTTAACAGTAACACAGTTAATTCCATTTAGGAAAACAATATATACATAGGTACATACATCAACCTATACATAACATCGAAACAATTGAGAAAAAATTATTAGGCCTAAAAAGCTGAAGTAGGTGGAGACAAGTGAAAATACGGATACATAATGAGAATCTACTGTATATGTATATATATTTTTTAGTTGGACTCCCAACGTGATCTGTATATGTAGACATACTTGAGTTTATTAACATTGCAAAAGCCAAATAATTGAGTTTTTAAATTTTTTTTTTCAATATTATTATAAGTTAACACTAAGTTGTTGAATATAGTCAATCAATTTTATCACAATCAATCAAATTTTATTTACCTGGGGTCTTAACTTTTTTCATTTGTTTAATGATTTTTTGATTTTTAAAATTTAGTACATAATTGTTATTTATATAATTTTCGAAATGTCATCTAACAAAAGTGGCAATCTTATAAAGTATTAATACATAAATATTTAGAAAATATATGAATGATAGTAATTTTATTAAATGAAAATTATATACTAATAATTCAAAAAATTAAAAATTTGAACTGATGTATAAATTTGTGTCTGTATTAAACTTTTTTATTTTATATAATAAACATTTATCATAATGAATAAATATAAAACAAAATAATTTGTATAATTAACAAGGAAATAGAAAAGGACATGTGGTTTATGTATCTATAAATACCGAGATCTAATTTTAACTTTGAGCATGGCATGAGGCCCTCCACTGGCCGGATTCGGAAGATCACATTGAGATGAAGGACATTGTGGGAAAAGAGTCAGGCTTCTTCAAGGAGCTTTACAAACAGTTCAGAAACAAGATCACGCCAGAGGAGTTCAAGCTGTTCTCCGGCTTGAAGACCGATTGTCAGAGGATCGCCTTCGTCAGAGAGAGGAACACGCTTCAATTCCCGATCCGGAGTGAAAACGATGCCAAGTCGCAGAAAGAATCTCTAGCACTGAAAGACTTGGGCAACAAGGCTTTTCAAAAAGGTGACAACAAAAAAGCCCTAGAACTCTACACCGAGAGTATCCTCAAGTTCCCAGAAAATGGTGGTAAATGTAAAAGAAATTTTGTTTTATATAAATTAAGATAATTATCATTTTTTCTTTTTTATAAAGACAAAAGAGAGTTGGCGATAATCCGTGCAAACAGATCTGCCGCACTTTACCATTTGGAGTATTATCAACTTGCCATTAAAGACATCGACATCGCATCCTCATTAAATTATCCGAAAGAGTTGCTTTTTAAAATAAAAGACAGGTAATTCTCAATACAATCTGAACTTAGGAATAGATTGATTTTTCAACAATAATAAAAGTGTACTTGATTTTAAGAAAAGCATTATGCCTATTGGCCTTAAAACAACACAAATCTGGTTTGTCAGCCCTACGAGAAACGATTGTGGCACTCGATGATGCCAAGCTGCCATCGGAGAAGAAGATGAAAAAGCAGAAAGATATAGAAATAATGACAGCACTGATGCTCAAGAATAAACTTGTTGATGGTAATTGATGCAATTCGATTGCCGAGTTATCAATTTTTAAAAAATGGAATACCCTGCAGAACCAACAGTCAAGAGTAAAAGACACAGCAAAATGCCTGACAAGAGGAACCAGGTTTACAAAGCTGCTGCGGAATCGGTGACGATGCAGTACAACGACGTGATGGGGCGGTTTGCGGTTGCAGAACAGGAGATCGATGTAGGCGATGTGATCTTAAGAGAAAGAGCTCACTGCTCTGTACTTTTGTATGAAAACTCAAAAACCCACTGCTTCAACTGTTTTACCAGGTTAAACAAATTATATTTTTAATTTTAGCATTGTCTCAGATTAAATGTAATTTTTTTTTTTAAATATAGAATTCAGTCATAAATACTAAAAGTAAATTTTATAGGGTCAAAGGCGGAGAACCGTGTCCTGGATGTGCAAATGTGAGATTCTGCAGCGACCAGTGCAGTAAAGTTGCAATGAAAACACATCATGGTGTCGAGTGTAAAATTTTAAAAACTCTGTGGGAGTCAGGAGCATCCGTCACTTGTTTTATGGCTTTAAGGATCATATCTCAGCATCCCATACAGTATTTCCTTTCTCTAAAAACAGATCTAAAGGTAAAAATAAATTTTAGCATAATAAATTGTTCATCGTTAGAAAAATTGGTTTAAAATTCACTTTCTATATTTTCAAGGGTGATCTTGGAGTTTGGCTCGACAAAGAATATTGTGGCATGAACTACTTGACCGTTTATCAATTGGTCACGCATGAAAACAGAAGGACGAGTGAAGATTTACTTCACAGATCGTTCATGGCGTTATTTTTGTTGTCTTCGTTGATAGCAGCTGGTTATTTTGAAGGTGTTAACATAACGATTTCTTCATGATTTGAAAATATTAAAGAAAAATCTTTCAGGTCTGACAGAGTCCGATCGTCCAGACGCTGAAAACATGATTGGTTTTTTATTGCTCCGACATATACAGTTGCTTCAATTCAATGCTCATGAAATTTCCGAGCTGGTCGGAAAGAATGAAAAGAATTGTAGGAGTATATTTCTCGGAGCTGGTTTATATCCTACACTAGCTTTATTTAATCATTCTTGCGAACCTTCAATAATCAGGTATTTTATAATTATAAACTCACTGATTTTTTAAAATTACTATTATAAAGTAATTTAGGTATTTTGAGGGAACGACAGTTGTTGTGAGGGCCATTAAAAAAATTAAACCGGGTGAAATGATTGCTGAGAACTATGGTCCGATTTTTACCCAGATGCCAAAGAAGGAGCGTCAATTAACTCTAAGAAACCAGTACTGGTTCGACTGTGTCTGTGAGCCTTGCGAAAGGAACTGGCCTTTGCTTGACCACATGGACCCTTCAATACTGCGTTTCCACTGCGAGACGAAAAGCTGCGACAACGTAGTGATCGTCCCCGTGAATAGCATGAATTTTCTAATACAATGCAACAAATGCGGGCAGCAAGTCAACATTCTCAAAGGCCTCAAAGTTTTACAAGTAAGTATAAGAATAAAAATAAAAGGAGTATGAACGTTCAATAATTTTTTTTAGGATTCAGAGAGCTGCTTTAAAGTAGCGGAAAGTTTTTCAATGGAAGGATCTATAGAAAAAGCAATGGCAAAATTTATCGAACTGAACAAAATGCTCTCAGAGGTCCTCGTCCCACCTTTTAAGGATTATTACGTTTGCCAGCAAAGTCTGAAATACTGCTTTATGTGTTTGGGGAACAGAACAGAGGAGCTGTGATATAATAAATTGCTTTATAGTCCCATATTTGAAATAAAATTGTTATGAGTCATAATTGCTTTGTTGCATTTATTCTTTAAAATAAAACAAGAAGAAATCTGAAGACTAATGGAAAGACAACTTCTCTGATTTGCAATACAAGTAAAATTGATCGTTTATCAACATATCCATGCTATTGGAGGTAGCAGAAGGATCACAAGACAACAATCGGTGGTATATAAACCCAACATCTCCATAAAATGGCAGATATAACCAAACACAATGCTCTGAACCAAACAATATTAATTATTGGTACAACCCAACACCCTGTACAATTAATTAGTGCCATCACCAAAATGGTCACTACATGAAATTCGAGTATAGTATGGGACAGTCACAGGAGGACAAGACCATAAACATTACCCAATTTTAAGGTTTGTTGCTTTGGAATTATTTCTTTTTAATTTTTTCATCTGTAATCTTTTTCTTAAAGCTAATATTTTTTCACTTTAACTGTTTCTTAAAGTAAAACAATTTTATAAAAATTAAACATACTTGAATTTAGGAGAGCAAATGAAGATTTGAAAGAAATGAATAATTTTTCATCAATTTTACTACTTAAAAAATTATTTTCAGCCTTTATTAAGTTTTTATTTTTTAATTATTAAGATTAGTTTTTCTGTTCGGATTGCTTTGCTAGAAATTCATTGGTAAGACTCTTTGTAACATCAGCAGCAAACGCAAGACCAGAAGTTAGAACCTATTTAAAACAAAGTACAATAGTTAATATAATAGATCATAAAATTAACTCATTTAACTTTAATAATAATTTTAAAAAATCATCATATTTTAGATTGAAAAATTATGTACAAACCCTAGTCGGATCCAATATACCCTCGTGAAACATATTGACAAATCTTTTGGTACACATATCAAAGCCTACATCTGCACTCAGCTCGTACACCCTGAAGGCCAGTTCAGTCGGGTTGAGGCCGGCGTTTTTCGCGATCACCATGCAAGGGACCCACAACGACCTGCTTACGATATCCAGCCCTTTGTGAAAATCGTCTGTGATCCTGGTGAACTGCGGGAAGCCGAGGCACTTTACGAGGGCACAGCCGCCACCCGGTACTGCTCCTTCTTCCAAGGCCGCCCTGAGAGAACTGATCGCTTTTCTGGCAATCTTGCACCTTTCTTTTATTTCCTCCTTTGAACAATGGGTTAAAGTGGTAAGAATTTAAATTAATTAAATCATGAGGAGACATTTACTTCATTTTTCCCTCCGACTTTAACTACCGCCATCCTCTGCACAAATCTTGCCAGACGTTCTCTTAAATACTCTTTTTCTTGCGGATTTTCCTCAAGCATTATTTTAGACTTCAAGTCTCTGATCTTCCTCCTAATTCTGCCATTATTTGTTCTAACCTTTAAGATGTTTTTTATTAAAAAGTTGATATTTTTTATAGCATTATCTTTAGATGGATATAAGATTACTGAAGCTTTGCTTGTAATAATGGTCCGGTTTTTTGTTATATCAGCACTCCAAGCTAGGCCGAAATGCTGCTTCGGCCTGATTTCTTCTAGCATTTTTAATGACTGGTCACTAAACACTGTTGCTTCTACGTGGGAAAAATATATATACTAAAAAAAATTATCACACCGCCAAAATGCACTTACCACAGGAGATTGCCACATCAAGTAACAACCTTTTTCCAAATTCGTCCAAATCAGGGGTCTTGACAGCACAAATACGCATCTTATCTTGTTGCCTGAAAACAAGAAAGTGCAATGAATTTTTTAAGGATTTTTTTAAAAATGAAAATACCTGCATTTTATGAGTGTCTGCAATGCCTCGTCGTCAAAACCTTTAGCAAGAATCAGGAGAGGATATCGTTCTTTTGTGGCAGCAGTCACAGCTGGCAGAATGCATTTTTTTGTCGATAAAACATCTTCACTTAACAGCACGTAAATTTCATGATACAAAACTTTATTTCCTAAAAATTAATTTATTTATTTTGACAATCATTAATATATATTAAAACAATTAAAAGGATAGTACAATAAAATTTGTTTTTATTAGAATATTAAAATTATTAGTTAATTACCATCATTATTAAACACTGGTGAGACATATCCACTGTCAATTTTAATTCCTTTGATTTTCTCTAGGTGGTCAAAGCCTGTTTTGCTCTCCTCCACCTCGATCCATCCGTCCCGCCCGACCTGAAGGCAGATAATACAAAACACAATTCTTTTAAACTTTCAACACACTTACTTCAACAAAAGCATCTGTCACTGCTTCTGCAAGCGGGATGTCCCCGTTGGTGACAGTCTTGGTGATCTGATCCAACTCGTTCGGCACGACGATCGGGGACGATACTTCGTTCAAGTACTTGCAGGCAATTTCAACCCCGTAGCTGATGCCCTTCTTGAGCGCCTTTGGGTCGCTACCTTCTTCTAGCGATTTGATCACAAGACTGGTCATCGCAGCGGCAAGAATCTTTAAAAAAAATTGTATTACAGGTTTTATTCAGAACAAAAGAAAATATCAATTATTTTAAGTTTAAAGAAATTCATACCATTTTCTGGTATAGAAATTAAAATATAAAAATATGGCATTTACATTCTTAATACTAATTTTTTTAATTAATAATTTTACATTTTTATGCTAAACAACTGCGTGAATTTGCAAGAAAAATTAATTACAGTTGCAGTATAAGACCCGTCACCATCATAAGCGCTTGTTGTTTTAATTGCTTTCTGTACAAGATGCATCCTGAGATTGTTCGTGTAAGACTGTGTCAAATCCTCTTTCCTTTGGATCGCTTCAAACTCGTCACTTTTGGTCCGTTGGTTGACCTGAAAAAGTCAATCGTAAAAACAAGAAATCGCAATTTCACCGGGCTAAACAAACTTTAAACCCCAGGGCGTTGCCAACAGCTCTGAAAACCGTTTCGATTTTTTCCGTCTGCTCAGTCGGCCTCGACATTTCATATTTGCCAAGGAGTGATACATAAGGGCTTTTCTGAAAAACAGGCAAACTTGATTTTATTTTTAGTTTAAAAGTTTCAAGATTTAAAAATTATCAGGATTTTAACATGAGCTTACATATTTCTGTGGTAGATCTAAAACTCTTGGTTTATATATTTGAGTACTCACTGTATTAAATTTCTGAAATGGATATTAAACATATATTAATTAATATTATTGTAGAGCCCTGAAGAAAACCCAATAAATTATCAAAAGCTTGGCAAATTACAATTGTTTATAAAATAGACCACAACCCTCATCAATACATCAATTATTGAAATAAAATTATAATTAATTAATTGAATAAGGCCGGGATGTTTGAATTTCCTAACTTAATCACCATGATCCGGCCCTCTGACCCTAAAAGTGTAATAAAGAACAGGATTAACATAAGTGGCATTGTTAATGGGCCGGATTGGCAGAAAAGCTTTCACATATCAAGAGCACTGTCCATAGGTGGCCCTTGAGAACCTGATTCGTAGAAGAGGGATGATCCTTACCTGATTAAGAATAGGCCATGTGAGGCTGACACATGAACTTTACATTTGGGCCAAAGCCCACATATATGTTCACATGTTGCTCAATATAACAAACTTAACCCAATATGAAAATTGTGTTTGAGCATGGCAGTGAATACTTGACAATCATTAAAAATATGTACATATTCAACATAACCATCCCCCACCAACCCTAACCATCCCTAAACATAAACACAAATAAAATATTTTAAGTATTGTGTCATAATACACAATATAAAAATATAAAATAAGTACGAAGGAATTGAAGAAATTTAAACAACAGAAATATATAAACAAATATAAAGGAAATGAAAAGGAATGATAAAAATTTAATTAAACAAATTAAATAACAGAAATGTATAAACAAATATACAGGAAGTGAAAAAGAATGATAACAATTTAATGAAAACAACAGATCACATAAACAAAATATATAAACAAAATCAACGTAATTGACATGAAGAATATTTTTTAAGAAATGCTTAAATTGACTTGAGAAAAGTTAAAAAGTGCTACAATGTAAAGGAAGTTTATTACTTGTTTCCATAAATCAAGGAATTGGACTAAATTTTAAATAATTTGTATTATAATTAGAAATGTGGAGTATTTATTGATCATTAATTAATGATTATTTAGAGATCGTGAGATGTGGTCTGGTGTGACGTAGGTTTAGAATCTTGCCAATATTTTGATCTTTATTGAGATCATCTTCAGGACCTGAGATTTATTAACAATGTTTAAATTATACAAATACATGTACGATGTGAATATGAATATGAATGATAAATATGAATATGAAATTTTAGGTTTAATCAAAGTATTTGTACTCATCAAAGTGTGTGTTTTCTGTGTAGATTTGTCGCTGTTGTATGTTGAGATTAATATCTCACCAACAAAACACCTCAGAAAACACTACTTTGAATGAGTACAAATACTCTGATTAAACCTCAAATTTCTATATTGGGTACATTGTTCTATAAATTCATTGTATTCATTCAATAAAGATCGAAACGTTCGCACAAAAAAGAAAATATTTGTCTAAACCTATAACACACCAGACTGCATCTCACGATCTCTAAATAATCATTATAATTAGATTTTGAAAATAATATTTTGATATATAAAATAATTATGTCTGGTATTACACTGTGGAACATGGAAATTAAGCAATTGATTAATTGTGGACAGTCGATCATATTGAAAAGTTTATAAGAAAATAGCAGGTGCTTATTTTGTTGTCTTATGTTTAGCGGTTGCAATTTTTCAGATTCCATAATAAGTTCGTATGGTGTATCCAAGTATGTACTAATAATTTTAAACCAGAGAGTGTGAATAATTTGTCGCTGTACATTTTCTATCAAATAATTAGTATTTCTGTGTCGTTTCTGCATCCTTAAATTTTTTTTGTAGTTTTATGTAATGTAATTGTTTAAATATTAACAAATTAAACATTTAAATGGAATTTTCAAGCAAACAAGGGTTGATGGCACTTATTCACATGTGAATTTGCCCTAAATAAATATATATATATTATACACTTCATATATTTTTTGAGCTTGTGTTGTACTGCTTGTATGAGTAACCTAAAACCTAAACCTAAACCTAAAACCTAAAAAAATAATAGGTTTTTATTCAATAAAATTCTTTAAAAAAGCCAGTAAACAGAGGGCGACTGCTTTGTGACAAATCCTTAATGAAAAATTCGCTAGGTAGCGAGTGGCATCGTTGAGTAGAATGCTCAATGAGAAGGCTATAACCATTCATGAATTGCAACATACCACATAGTGAGAAGTGACAACTGAGAAGTATCTGTGCATCTTCTTAGATGACAGATGAAGCCCACGTGCTTAGCCCACAAATTTAAAATTGCCAGTCAACATGGAAAAAGACGAAGAATTAGAAATAAGCGTTAAAAACTGGGAAAAGGTCACGGAACCGATCAAACAAGTAAACAGTCGAGGTTTATCATTTGGATTTTGTATTAATTTCGTTTATTCATTCATTAATTTCAGGACGGTTTCAGAGAAGGATTTGAGTCGGGTAGATTGAATTCGTTCCAGAGCGGATTCGATATTGGGTATAGCGCAGGGTTCAAAGCCGGGTTCACACTCGCTTATTACAATGCCGCACTCAGGTAGTCAACAATCGACAAAAAAAATTCACATTTTAATTGTTTCATTTTAGGGTTGTAGACGAAGTGCGAGGTAAGATGGAGAGCGCCTCTCTTGGACTGGAAGGCCGAGTTTTCGAAAAGGCCGAACGTGGTGCCTGCGCTCTCTGCCCCAAAGTGAACCGTCGCCTGACCAAAGCCGACATGGCAAACGCCGTCCCCTTAGAGGATTCGACCATAGACGATTTAGTAGAAAAGCAAAAGCTGGAAACTCGCAATGTGATGACCGAAAAAGAAAAAGAAATAAAGTGGCTAGACTCATTCTTGCCAAGCTCGTGATATATATATTTTTATTTTAAACGAAATAAAATAAATTGTTTAACTTACCCGTATATTTCTGATTTTTTGGAAAGCGAGCTTACGCTTAGAAAACATGATTATCCTATTATTGGGACAAAGGAATCACCATATGATGATGCAACCTCTAAATTTTTATAGAGGTTTTAACATTTATTTTGGGCAATATATCAAAGTCAGCTGGATTAATAATAACACAATTTACCACTTTATTAAGTCTATATTGACAATTCACAGGAAAATTAAAGGATAGAAATGTTTCTAAATTAAACATAGTTATTAACATAAGAAAAACAGTAATGATTAATTTTTAAAAATATGAGTTGTTTCTTTATTCCTTATTGACTACCTGTCATTGATTGTATATTATAATTAAAATTCCTTTATGAGTTCCTTAAAATCAAAAGTGCAACCTTCGCTTACACGGATGGGTGCAAGAGCACAGAAGGGGTTGATGCCGCATTCTTGTTAGGTGGTAGGAAATAGATCCTTTGTAATGATTCTCTTTTGGCAGTGCGTGCTTTAAAAGTTATTTAAACCCACATGTACATGAAATTCATTCTGCCATAAAGACTTTTACTGCAAAAATTTACAAGTCACTGTCATGTTGATTCCAGGACACTGCGGGATATCTAGAAACGTTGAGGCAGACAAAGCGGCAAAAAGTGCACAGAGGGGTCATAAATTAAGTGGTGCTGCAAAAAGACTTACGTATGTGAAGGCCAAAACAAAATTAAAATGGCAACTAGAAAGGCTTAATATTGGAAAAAACAAGCTAAGAACCGTTAAAGCGGACATTGGACTATGGACCACCTCAGCTAGACTATCAAGAAAAGAAGAATGTGTACTTGCGAGACTCAAGATAGGGCACACGTGATTCACACATGGGTATTTGATGGCACGCGGACCTCTGCCTATCTGCTTGACATGTGGAGTTTTAACCACAGTCAAGCACATACTGTTAGAATGTAAGAAATATAGAAGAGCATGCATGAGCAGTGGGCTGCCCGCTTCTCTTCCCGAATGGTTAAATGACAGGGAAACAATGATATCAAGATTGTTTGAATTTTTAAGGGAAACAGAATTGATTGGTAAAATCTGATTTAAGTGATGAAATTTCTGTGGTAGGGCGGCTGGTGCTCGAGTGTGATGAGGGGGGACTTCTGGGCAACATTGCAAGCCCCAGACCTGGGGCGATGTGGATGTAACAAAAAAAAAAAAAGTCCTTTATGAGAAATTCCCCAATTTTGACATGTATTATGCTTGTTTTTCATTCAAGCAAGGCAGGTCCAACTCTGAATCCTAATTATTAGAAAGCAGAGCCCCAGAGGTCTTGATTGGACCTGAATTTCTTCTGCTTTATTGTGAGGGTTCACAACAGCAGAGGACATATCAACTCCAAATACTTGTTTCTCTGCTCAAGGCAATAGTCATGGCTGACATTCCTAAAAGCTCTACATGGAACCAAGGAGTGGCATCCTTCAATTAAGTAGGAGTGTTCTATATGCTCACATGTATATCATATATAGTCTTTAGTCTTGCATTTGTACAATTTTAACATTTCTAAACTGTATATAATTAATCTGATTATGATGTACTTGTTAGTTTGCACTATAGTCTTTGACATATGTGATGATGTGGAATGTAGTCAAATAGTCCTTTTTTTCCTTTTCTTTGGGGTGTGTACATTTAATTTTCGAGAGAACATAGACTTGTATTAGGCTCTTTTTCAAGCATTTTGCTATGAACCAGATATCTTTATTTGCCCATGCATTTATTATTTAAACTTAATTTAAATAATCTCGTTCTTGTCCTGTTAAAATCGTCTATATTTTTGACATAATCAGTGGTATTTTTGTTTATGACTTTAAAATAAATGATAAAATCTCTGTTCTCAATGTTAGAAGTATTGACCAGTTTTTCACACTGGATCAAGGTATGATCTTGAAGAAGAAAAAATTCTGTTGTTACTGACAAACTTTCGACCTACTTTAAGGTCATCATCAGTGCAAAACAATCTTAAATATGTCTACAGATTGACATATTTAAGTTTTTTTTCAGGAGATTTCAAATTTCCTTGAAGACCGACTCAATCTTAACATTGCCAAAGACTGTAACCCAATATATATCAATAAATAATATGTATACCTACGGAGATTTAACATTTTTTTGCTCTGGTGATGACCTTAAAATAGGCTGAAAGCTTGGCAGTAACAACTGATTTTGCTTTTTTTTTTTGAAGACCGTGCCTTGACTGTTCGTGGGTTAAAATCTTTACTAGATGTATTCATCTTTGAAATGTTTGATGATGTGGAATAATGTAGTCAACTAGTCTTTTTTTTTTGTCTTTGAAAAAATGAATATGAATAAATAAAAAAAAAATATAAAAGACAAAAAAAGACTTTTATGGTTTGATTGTATTTTATTGTTTAGTGTTTAGTTAACCAGCTTTGGGTGACGACTTTCTTCGGTTGTGTAGTCAGCCGACCGCAGTGCTCACTGGTCACTGCTCAGCAACGATGCAGTTGGCGGCAAGTAACCTCACAGCACCTGCCCTTCTCGTCAGGTAGGAAAACAAATCTTTGATTCGGCTCGGTCGTAAGCAGAAGCTGCTGAGTGCTGTCCGCCTGCTGCTGATTTTCCGTCGAAAGACAAATGACTCTCAACTTCGGTTCGACGCCCGCGTTCGGCGTTGCCCCTTCGACAGGCGCGACCGGCTTCGGCTTCGGCACCCAGGCGGCAACAACCAAACGTAAGAGAATAAGCTCTCACACAAACGTGAGACGCTGCACATTTTTTTACCCAACCTGCTGGGTGGTGGTTAAAAAAATACGGTTTTACTAAAAAAAAGGTGGAAAATAATCTAAAATATATATATATTAAATTTTTTTTATAATGTATAACAAGTCTTATATATAGTTCTATGTGTTTGTCTAATTTAAGTTTTTGTGTAATATGCTATAAATTTCTTTAAAATGTGTATATTGAGTGATCATAGTATTTGCCTTTATAGGCGTCTACTTCACATGTCATCATTTTTATGCATCCCAATGGATGTGCTAATAGACCTAACATAGTTGTTGAACTTAGGCCAGGATGTTCCAACTTTTAATCACCCTAATCCAGCCCTCTGAAGCTAAAGCTGCTTTAAAAAATAAAAGAATGTGGCACTGTTGGTGAGTCAGATCTGCTGAAATCTCACACATCAAGTGTACTGTTGATAGGTGGCCCTTGCCCGATTAAGCATAGATACGAGGTATACACATTGACGCTTACTTTTGGCCCAAAACCTGCATATGTTTTCAGCATGGAAACAGTCGCTTGATTGCCCAACTAAATTGGTCTTTGGCTCCTTATAGCAAGCATGTAGGAAAGCCATCTGATATGAGAATTGTGCTTAAGCACAGCAGTGTGTATCTGGGTCCCCTGTTTGATTCTTGAATTAAACAGGGGGAGTTTTATTTTATTTAATACTGATAGTTTTCTGATTTAGTGTGTGTTGGGAGTAAATGTATTTATTGGCGTGAATGTGTAGTGTGAGAAGGCTGATGGAGGAATATCGAGTACTTCATCGACCATCAATATGTGTATGTAGTTATTACACAATATGTGTAAAGGCTGAGGAATATCGAGTACTCCAACACCCTGAATGAATAGTTGGACGTTTCGGACAGTAAATGCAAGACTGATTATATTGGAGGCTAAACTGACCTAGCTGGTCTTGTTGGAGTGGTGTTCTTCCATAGAAGAAACTCGTTTTCGAAGGGGGTTGGGACCAAAGTCAGGGTCACTGAGATCTGATCCTGCCGCAGACCTTCCATTGATGAATGCCGTGTCAATTTTCATTCTGGCCACTGGTCCCCTTAGGCGTCAGAAAAAAAGTCCTGTGGCGATGGTGGGAATCGAACCCACGACCAATGGGTTCTACTAGCCGAGAGTCTGACTACTGCAGCCCCCCAGACCAGACGTGAGTACCAAGACCTTACCATCGTCTTGAGCGGAATTAATAGAAACAAGCTCAGCAATTCAAGAACCCCCTTGAATTCTGAACCACAGCAGCCGGGGGTCACCATCCTTTTTCACAGTTATTCCTCTGAAAATACATTATTTTACGCTAGCCGTTCTTTAAGAAACTCGATGTGATAATCAGAACACTTATTGGCAGTATCTAAGATTTCTTCCTTTCCGGATTCTGCAGTGTGTCTAGTCCTTATTCTTAATCCATTGTCTGATAGATCTATGTTTTTGGCAAGTTGGTATGCCACAAAAAGGTTCAGGGCGGATCGGTGCCCTTATTGAGCTTTCCTTTGCCAATTTACCAGCCTCCTCTTTGTTCCTCTGCTCTGGTACCCAATAAGGGTAATTTTGTTGTTCCAACATACTCTGGTTTGCACTTTTCACATCTTGGCTCATGGCTTCTTTCTACGGCTCATATTTTAATTCCCTTCCACAATTGCCTTCGATTAGCTATGCCCAATGCACATTATAATATAAACAGCTTAATTTATCTTTAAGTTTATGTGTATATTTTTATTATTGTCATTCATATATTTATTTTCTTTTTTCATTTTTTTTCTTAGATGATGATGTAAAAGTGTGTTTGTTTTGTAACTTGTGGAGTTGAAAGATGTTTTACACTTCGTTGCTTCTAACCAAGTTACACTGACTTCATTTTAATAAATCTGTATTGAATTGTGTGCAATTTTTTGAGCGTCTAAGAAGGAACTCTGTATGCTCAGTTAACTTAGTGAACAATAAGGATGCCTGATATAGATATAACGGATAATTGAGTTTAATTTCTAATGGGCATATTTACATTCACCTGTCGATTGCAATGATTTGAGTATCATTGGAATTTATCAGATCATTGTTGCCATGAGCTTTTCTTCCTTTCCTAGATCAACTCAATTTTTTTAAGTCGACACCACTCAATTAGCTGGTTAACTACATCTTACGTATTAGTTTTAACAATCTCACTAGCTTCTTCAGTGCTTTTATAGCTTGTGTAGGGGATGATAGAGCTAATAAAATATTCCATCGCTCTATTTGAGTAAACCGAATAGATACAGGATAAAACTAGATAAAATTTGGGCTGAAATTGCCTGTATATTTTGAGTCATTTTTTTTAGTAGATACTAGACAAAAGACTGAGTTCTAATCCCAGGCTTTTGCATCTTCAGTGTTTGCCTATATTGCTTAAATAAATTATTATAAATGTATTTGTGCAGATATGCTACAAACCTTTTGAAATTGATCTTTTTTGTTTCATAATTTTTAATTTAGTTTCAATCGAATATAACAAGTTATATATTTTATCAAAAAGTAGGCTTTTACATACAATTCCTGGTAAAAATAAATTAAAAAATAAAGCATTTAAAAATTGGAATTTCTAAACGAAAATAAAAAACATATTCACAGCTGCTGAATTTGGGTCGAATTTGACATTTGGGGCTCCCGCTACTACTTCAACACCCAGTTTCGGCTTAGGTTCAAATGCTCAGACGACAGCATCAACCGGTTTCGGTAAGTAATTGTACATGTTTGCAGTTTTAAAATTTGTAATTGGACAATTCAACTAGGGTTTGGCACTGGCTTCGGTACGACTGCCACATCCCAGCCAACTGCTTTTAGTGGATTCGGCTCATCAGCCACGACGACGACGACCTTCTCTGGCTTTGGCGCGCCGGCACCGACCACCTCGAGTTTCTTCGGCTTCGGCTCTTATCCATCAACTACCACATCAGCCCCGTCATTATTCTCAGGCTTCGGCCAGCAAAACAGTACATTTATCATTAAAGTAATTTTTTTTAACTTTCTTTCAACGCAATAATTTATTTTTAGCACTTTCATCATTCGGTTTAAAACCCTTTGGCCAGACTCAATCGACCTTTGGGCTGGGAAGTTCTTTAGGACAAGGTAAAAAAATTTACATATTTGTTTTAAAATGTTATGATAAAACTAATCAATCTGTGTAGGCCTGGGTCAACAACAACAACAACAACTTCAGCAGCAGCAGCAACAGCAACAACAATCTGGTGTGGAGCAGGTCACGAATTCTGTTTTCAATTGTGCTATGTTTGGTGATGAACACGACAAAACGCTTTCCAAGCTGAATTTTCTACAGGCTTGTTGGGGAACGGGCAAAGGTAATAAAATTTGCCAAAATAAATTCTAAGAAAAAATGAATCGACATTTTTAAAATGAAATAATATTTCTTCACAGGTTATTACAATACAAACATCCCACCTGTCGAATATACTTCAACCAATCCTTTTTATAAATTTAAATCAATAGCGTATAGCTCAAAACCATCTGTTGACGCCAAGGACGGTCTAGTGGCATTGCAATTCAATAAAAAGGAGGAAGACATAAGGTAAATTTGAAAAAAAAAATGTTATAATATGAGCCTTTGAATATTTTTGTTTTTAAAGAAAACAGCAAGATGCATTGAAATCATCATTATCTGCAGTACTCGGTAATAAGCCTAATCTTGCTGTTAATGTGGATAATATAAGACCAGTGTCAGACAATTCGGCAATTGTTTTCATCTATGTTGAAGAAAAATTTCCAAATGGTACAGATTTAGTTAAAAACAAGTTTTTCTGATTTTATAAAATGTTGCAATATTTTTTTCAAGGCCAGACAAAACGAATATCAAACACAAATCTAACAAACTACTTGATGCAAATGACCCAGAAGTCGCAACTCGAAAATATGGGTGTCTGCCGAGCGTATCCGATCAACTCGCCGGACGAAGAGCAGATCAAAGAGTACCTCAGCGTCCCGCCACCCGGCGTGGACCCTGTCATATGGAAAACTGCACAGGCAAACAACCCAGACCCTAAGAATCTCATCCCCGTGCCGATTATGGGCTACGGCGAAGTCAAATGGCGTTACCATTGTCAAGTTGAACAGACAAAGCGGCACCAGGCATTCATTGATAAGATCGCAGAGGAAATACTGAACCTCAAAAGCGAAAATGAATCATCAAGGCTGAAACTGTTAGAATTTAAGCAAAAAATTGTTGAAATTGATCACAGAATTTTAAAGGTAGAATTTTTCCAATATAAATTTATTTCAATCGTAATTAATTAATTTTTTATTACAGTTGATGGTGAAGCAGCAGGCCACGAGGAATATTGGTGTTGCTCTCCAACCAGAAGAAGAAGTTATGAGGAGCAGATTAGATAGTGTTCAAAATCAATTGAACGCACCGCAGTTTAGTGTAAGCTTACTTTTATTTTGACATTTTCATTTGTTTTAGTGTAAAAATTTGGGGGGGGGGGCTGCAGTAGTTGAGAAGTTAGATGCCAGTCGATAGATCCCACTCGCCCCAGCCCTTTTTTTGTGCAACCCTTCCCCCCTCTAATTTTTTAATCTCATGTTACTTGGCTATATCCAAAGTTGATAAGGCCATTAAAAAAAATAAATTTAAAAATTCAATTTAATTTTTTTTAATGTTCATGTAGGGAAGGTTGAATGAGCTTTTGACACAAGTCAGACTGCACAAACAGGAAGCGACACAGGAAAATCTGGACGCTTATAAAATGACGGATACGATGCAACAAGAAATTAAACAGGTGAATGTTACAAAATTGGAAATTTTTTAAAGTTGTTTTTAAACATTTTGCCTGTTTAGTTTTTATTGATGCAACAAGAGGGCATCAAATCACTCATCGAGATCATGCAAAGTGATATGGCTGACCTCAAGGCGATAGAACAACAGCTGAAGAAAAAATGACACAAGATTTCTAGCCGGAGTTTTGTACACGTAAAACATTAAACATAACAGTTTGGATATATTTATTGGGATATTTGTGTAAATACAATTTTTTTTCAGGATTTCCATTATCGTTTTATTCATTATTCACCTGCACCTACTTGTTTATTGTTATATTTTTAATGTTATTGATAGGTGCAAAATAGGTTCAGGTTAGGAGTTTTCCTTTTTAATAAAATATATTAAATTATGGAAGAATTTATTATGTTTACAAAAACAAAAAACACATCCACTCTAAAATTGCACATGACAGTGCCTATGGTTCAAATATAACACTGAAAGAAAAATTTATTTTTGTACAAAAAAAAAATATGCTTCTTTGGTGGATATATTTACAAAATAAGTTATATTGATCAGAATTACATATATAAAAATGACTTTAGGTTTGAACCTTTCTTAGAATAATACTGATGACAATCTGAGATTCCATATTTGGTATTTTATAGTCTTTGAGGTAGTATCTACTCAAAATCTAATGAAAGTCCTTGGTAGTGATTTTTTTTCTTCACATTATAAAATATCAAAAAGTCATTTTGAAACAAATATCACTTAAAAACAACTCAGTCTTTAACTAAACTTATATACAGATCACATTTGTTATTAAAAATTATTATAACGTCAATCAGACCTTGTGTTGTAGTTTTAAAGGGCACGTGAGGTCTAAAGGTGTATCCTGTTCAGTGCAGAAAGACTGGTCTTTCATATACCACTGTATAAGACTGGGCCAGGGGTATTGAACGGGTTTCGAGGGGTAAATTTCTTTGGGCTCTTGTGGTTCGGAGTAGAAAGGCTTCTCTTCATCCATTTTGCAGCAGTTGTTCTTAGGTTCAAGAGGTATTTGCTGGGTGTGTCGGTAGGTCTTGAGGTGTTTACGCAACGAACTGGGGTCGGTGTACCTCTTGGGGCAACCGGGTATTTTGCAGACGTATGGCTTCCCGTCCGAATGTGTCCTCATGTGCTTGAACCTGTCGCTGGAATTGGAATACGCCTTGCCGCAGCCTTCAACAGTGCAAACGTACGGTTTTTCGCCCGTGTGTGTCCTTGAATGAATCTTGAGGTTTTCAGCCCGGCTGAAAGTTTTATTACACTTGAAGCACAAGTGGGGTCTTTCGTTCGTATGCGTCCGGACGTGCACGAGCATCTTGTATCTTGCGTTAAATCCCCTGTCGCCCCTCATGCAGCCTTCCCAGCCGCAGTAAAACAGTCCACCTTTGCCAGGCACGGCATGGGCATGGGCGACGTGCGCCGCAAGAACTTCTAACTGGCTGAACCAATAGCCGCACATCTCCCAGCAGCACTTGACAGGGGCATTCTGAGCGTGTGGCACAGCGTTCTCGCCACTTGACAGACTCCCATCACTGTCACTCTGCAAAAAATAAACCAATTTAAAATACAAAAATAAAATAGATTACTGATATTAAAACTAATATTAAAAAAAAATTTAATTTTAATTTAATGTGTGGTGTTTAGGGTGTTAGTTAATGATTATATGGAGTTCTTAAGATGCGGTCTGGTTTTTTAATTTAATGTGGTGTAAAAATATTTTAAATCTCAAAAGTTGATTATTTTTTAATTTTTTAAATTAATCCTTATTTTTATTCATATATTTTAAGTCCTAATGCATTTTGGACCATGTCCCTGGTCCCTCTTCAGAACCAATATTTTATCATACTAAATAAAATATTATTACAATGTGTTTATTTAGTTTAATAAAATATTTATAGAGAGGGACCAGGGCCTGAAATGCATTAGCAATTAAAATATATGACATAAAATAAATAGGGTGTTTAGTTTAAAAAAAAAAACCCAATAAATTTAAGATATTAAATTTATTTTGTGCAGGAGAGTTGGATTGAAAAATATTTATTTTTATACTGATAACTAGTGAGTGTGTGGAGAGAATGTGTGTGTGTGTGTGTGTGTGTTTTTCGTGTTTGTGTGTGTGTGTGTGTTTGAGAGAGAGAGAGGGAGAGAGAGAGAGAGTGAGAGAGAAATTTAACTATTTATGTGTAATAAAATTAAGTAATTAAAATTTAAATTACATAATTTTATATTAATCTCCTTCTAGGCCCTATGGCATAAGATGTAATGATTTTTTAAAATCTACATTTTATATTTTAATAAATAGATTAGTACACGACATTAGTAAATTATGATTGTTAAGCATACAAATATATATTTGAAAAAAATAATATTAAGGGTCAATAATTGACCTTTTCCTATGGAGCAGAGAAAGAGGAGCTTTAGTTATATTTTAGTGTGTATTTAGAATAAATTGTTCATCTGTTTGTTTTTCAAATAAAAGGAATTAGGCAAAAATGGACCAAATTTACCTGAGAGTGATTAAAAATAACCATCGCTTCAAATTCGAAAGGTCGGGGGAGACAGTACTGCAAGCGTGGTTGAAAACAGACTGGCCTTTTCGTACGGAATCTGATTCTTTTATAATGAGGCCGTTATCTGCAAAGAGCTGCAGCACTAATGGCATCGTTCGTACAGATTGGATCGAAAGATTAGCCAGAAGGATTTTTCGCACTAAGACTTTTAGACCGGCGTTATCTTTTTTTAAGAAGGCTGAGGCGTGGGTCCATAAAGCACCGGTGGAAATTTGAATTTCACGAAGGTTTGGGGTTCATTGCTGTTTTCTAGATTGTAGGGCATTTCCTGTTTACCACGGTCAGATAATTCGAGACCAGAAATCGAACAGCTATCTCTCGTGTTGAAGTAATCGCTATATATACTGTCCGGGTGTGACAAGGATTGAAAATTATAGACCTATCTGCCAAATTGCACAGTAAATACTTTTTCGAAATGAACAAGTTAAGAACAAACACAACAAAACAATAAAGCCGCATTTTACAAACAATGTCTTAACAGCATGGAGGAGAACGTGAAAGAGAAACCCCATAACAATCAGGTGTTTCTTATAGTAAAACGACAACCCTTGTAAAGAACGAGAAAATACCAAAAAAAACTTGAATCAGAAATTTTTCATTGCAGTTTGCACACTACAAAGTACAACGCACGAAGTATCAAAATTGTGCATGCAAAACTTAATTTTATATTCTACGAACCTCCCACTACGAGGTTCAACGCTTCCGGCGTAAAGTTAAAGACGTTTTAAATTCCGATTGTAGATGTGCAGAACACATCCTGTGCCGCTTGATTGCATGGGCTATCGGCGATTTTACCCTACGTGGTCCGCCTAATCTCGCTCCTGCTCGGGCTATTTCATTCAGAGTGCTTGAACCGAAAAGAAAATTTTGTGCTGGTCGAAGAGGCAAAAACAAGTTAGACTGTTTTATTCCATGCATTTTTAAATTGGTATTCCTCATTAATTTATGGCTGGCTCGTTTGGGCTGTAAGCAAATCATAAGACAAGGCATGCAATAATTTATGAATTATTGAACTACTAAACCACTTAAAATCAATTGATAAAGGGCAAAACCTAAAATTAAATACTCGACGATATTGCTGCATATAAACTGTTTTGTCCATTTCAACTGTTTTTATTGCTATAGTCTGCCTATTTATGGCTCAAGAATCTTTAATTTATTATAAATTTAATAAAGCGGGTTTCTGGAAGGGCTTTTTGACCATCGATAATTTGTTTACGCTTACCAACATAATTTATCTGCATTGGTCTTTTCGTTGAGAATAAAGGGATTGTAATAATTTAGGTTCCTTATAAAAATATCTAAGGCCACTGGAATCTCTGCTGTGAGAAGTAATTAGGGTTGACGGATTTCTTCTAAGTGAAGTCTGGTATGAGACAAGGTTGCACCCTAAGTCCGTTGCTATTCTCCTTATTCATCCATGACTTGAATGAGAGACTCGAGTTTAGAGTAGGAGATATCATTATAAAAATATTATAAGCGGATGGTATGGTAATTCGGAACAACCCGGCCGCATTACAGCACTATTAAGTTATACGAAGCTTACTGCGACTTATGTATTTTGAACCTGAACCTTTCAAAATTAAAAAGTGGTTATCTTCAGGTAAATCGGGTTTCATATAGGTCTGTTACAACTATAAATATCTAGGAGTTTACCTTCAAAAATATATAATTCTACTTGAAAGAAAATGCAACCTCAACCAAAATTGCTATTGGACTTTGGGCCCAAAAGGGTAGTCACTCCACGGTGGGCTGACACCAGGCGAGATATCCTACCCCATTAAGCGGCTGGATCGCTAGTGGATATATAGGAGATCGTCGTTTCCCAACCAATAGGGTTAGGCTCCAAAGGAAGCTTTCGACAGCTAGATCAATTCAGCACCTAACGCATAATGATCTAGCCTAAAAGTAACTAACATCGCACAAATAATAACGTCCGCACCATGAACATTGCACTTCTGATTAGTCGGTGGAGTACTCGATATTCTTCCGTCGACCTCACACAAAGTAATAAGCTTATCTTAATTAGGGCCGATGGAGTAATGTTATAAATATTCCGCACCCAAACAAACCACACAACCGTAAAACAGATTTAAATAACAGATACGGTAAAAAAACCCCACGCCATCTAAAAAGCTGAACGGGGGACCCTGAAAATCGCTCCTGTGTCTGAGAACCATTCTTAAATTCGTCGACATGACTACATGCTTTCTGTAAGGAGCCAAGGCATGACAAGCGTCTATTACATGGGGCATACCTTTCTCTGTATAAGAGGCACTTACGCGGCTTTGGCCTAGGAGCAGGTGTCCGTGTAAAATTGCTATTAATTCAATATAGGGGCTTTGTTCCTTGGTCTGCCAAGTTGAGGGTGTTCAGCAGGGCATGTCGAACTAGCCCGATTTATGCGTGTGACCCGGGGTTATCGCAGTACGAAGAAGTGAAAAAGTATTCAGATATTTAATTTAAAATATCTTCTTTCTCCACGGGTAAAGGCCAAATTACATATTTTCCCTAGAAACAAACACCGATTCAGCTGCGCATGAAATATGTTTGCAAGGTGTAAACATTGCAAGATTCACGCCTAACAAAAATTCTCAAAATGATTGAACAGAGTGCATGGGTTGAGCATTAGAATTCAAAAGCAATCTGGGATGTGGGTTCTCTTTCTCACGGGAAAATATGAATGACTGGAAACACTCTTCCAAATAACTATTGGACAGGTCTGCCGATCCTTATCATTCTTAATATCCGATCTGAATATTAAACGTCGCAGAAAAACATATTTCCGTGTAGGCCGGCCTGCCGGTAAATCTTCTTCTAAAGGCGTGGGTGAAAAATTGAAAGCAAGGCTGATTTGGGCAGGTCGGACCTCCCACGACGAGCTCAGAGGGCGTAGGAAGTTGACCAGAGGGGGTCCGTCTTCCCAAGTCCCTCCTCGTCCTTGTGCATTGTACAAGGCCTCGAGTCATTAGTCCTCCCTCCTGGGTGTTTTTTTTCTATTTTTTCTCCTCCTTCTTTTTTTTATAGCCCCGCAGCCCTAATAACGAGGATGATTCAAGTCCTCGCGTCGTTAGGCGGCCGGGATAAAACGCCCGGATGCTCCTTTCGAAACTTTCGACGAAGTGACCGCCGGTGCGGAAAATAATTGTATTTCTTGCCATAAGGCTTGTAGCCGAGAAATAATGAAAAATGCATAATTTAACTGGTCATATTGACCCGAAGGCGCGACGCCTTGGTCGAACACCACCGCTTCACCGATCTGACATCTAATGATATTCTGATCAGTATTGACTAGTATTGATAATGGACATCGAATCCAGAACGACTCGAACTGGCTGTCAGAAATACAACCCTCAAAAGACCAATTTTCATCAAACTATTTCAGCTGATGTCGTTTCACATCCTCTCCAATAAATGTTTGTTTGTTTGTTTGTTTGTGTGTGTGTGTGTGTGTGTGTGTGTGTGTGTGTGTGTGTGTGTGTGTGTGTGTGTGTGTGTGTGTGTGTGTGTGTGTGTGTGTGTGTGTGTGTGAAAGAGTGAGAGTGCAAGAGAGGAGAGAAAGTGGATGAGAGAGAGAGATAGAGAGGAGAGAAAGTGGATGAGATAGAGAGAAAGTGGATGAGAGAGAGAGAGAGTGAGTGAGAGAGAGAGGAGAGAAAGTGGATGAGAGAGAGAGAAAGAGAGAGAGAGAGAGAGAGGAGAGAAAGTGAGAGAGAGAGAGAGAGAAAGAGAGAGAGAGTGAGAGAGAGAGGAGAGAAAGTGGATGAGAGATAGAGAAAGAGATAGAGAGAGAGTGAGAGAGAGAGAGAAAGTGGATGAGAGAGAGAGAAAGAGAGAGAGAGAGAGAGGAGAGAAAATGGATGAGAGAGAGAGAGAGAGAGAGAGAGAGAGAGAGAGAGAGGAGAGAAAGTGGATGAGAGAGAGAGACTCCATTAGGATTAAAAATCCATGTTTTGTTTGTGTGTAAGATCGTTTGATGGATCTGATTTCGAAGAAAATTCTAAACAACCCACAGAACAGAACAATGTAAAGCTCACCTGATGAATTGGTGAATTCGGTGGTGAGATCTGCAGTATATCTTCATTTGACATGTCCTTTTCCTCCTGAAAAAAAAAGGTTTGTAACCCATATATTGTGTATTTGACATAAATTTAGATGAATTGTTTTACGATAGATATTATTTTATTACAGAAAATGTTTTGGTTTCAGGCCAAGGGCACCTACCACTGCCCAGCTAGCTAGAGTAGTTAATGATTAACGATTATACATACAAATTATGTGATGATAATATATACAAAAGGCTTTTCGCATTGTCTGGCATAATGGTGTAGTCTGTATGGATATAATTAAAATATCCATAAATAATATGAATAAAATATCCACTTATATCTCCTATTGAGACAATTCATAGTTCCTTATAAAAATCTATTTCCCAACGGAGCGATATCGCTCTTGGTGTTCCTCAACGCTGTATCCTTGGACCCTTCCTATAGCTATTTTGTAAAACGGCTCTTTACGCTGACGATATAGCTGTCCAATCTTCCTTTTGGAGAATTAGATACTCAGTTGGTTGAACGTTCGTTCTTAGTTGCGCTTAATAGTGGTGAATTTTCAACCATTGGAAAATTAAAATTAATCGTAATAAAACGAGGGTAATATTTTCAGCAAGCGTATACCGTTGACGTACAAGAAAATCCAAGTTAATCCAGGTCGGACAAATCTTTGGGACCTGTAAGCTCACTTTTACTTCCCCAATTGGTAGAGCGTTTACCAACCCAGTCTATCACCGGACGAGAAACCTCTGATGAGCGAGGTGATGGTCATGCCAATGCTCTATAAGTGCCCATGGAGTCTCACATGCAGGACTAATGTCGGTAGGATCCTGAGGCTTGTGACAGAAATCCTTCGACATATTGGAACTGTACACTGCGACAATGTCGACGGTAGTCCAATACTAGGTAATTACAGTTGGGACGACCGTGGTTATGCACAAGAGAGTTAAGACGCTCTCACATAATTTTAACTTAACGTGAGTACATTCTTTAAGTGTACGAAGAGTTAAATCGCAATTGGTTAAAACACACAAAAACATCCTCGCTCACTCACATTTTATAATAAAAAAATATAATAAAATATTATTTATTTAGAAATCGTGAGATGCGGTCTGGTGTGATGT